AAAAAAAAAAAAAAAAAAGCCTTTTGGGGAAGAGAGAAAAAATTAAAAAAAATAAAATAAAAATAAAAAATATTTAGTGGATGGTATTTTGTGTAACCTTATGAGTTGCATGCCACCAGCAGCCCCACTTTATAGACAAGAAAACTACAGCAAGAAGTTAAGAAACATGGACTTATTTATTCCACACCTAGGTATATACCCAAGAGGAAAAAAATTAGTGGAAAGGGCTCTATATTCCCAAAAAGAGGCAACATAATCTCAGAAATTACCTTAACATTTTGACAAAGGGCAGAATTTTGAACATACTTTCAGAGCTTTCCTACTGAAGGGACAATCTACTTTTGTATTAGAAACTCCCATTTCAACACTTAGAGATGAAGGTCTAAAGCACACACTGGTGCCCCTTAAAGGCAGTTGAGCTCTAAACACCTCAGAAATCAGATCCGAGAGAGCACGGCCGTGCGCAGAACACCCTGTCTGCTTCTAAGCTTGCCTGCAGTGGTTTTCCTTTCCCACGTCCCCTGCCTCCTTCCCAAGGCCCAGGCCTCCTTTCCAACACAATGAAGAAAGTAAATGGGGAAGGGAGAAAGGAGGAAGGGAGCCCACACACAGGGTCACCCTCAGCTGCACCTTTGAGCACAAGGACTGCTCCCTGAGCATAAACCCCCATGCCTCTCCCCAGAGGAGAGGGACCCACAGGCAGAGCAGACCAGCCAAGCAGAGGGTGTGCTGCCTTCTGGACCTCAAATCCTCCTCCTTGGAAGTCTACCAGTCACACATGAACGTAGGGCTGCAAGCAGCTGTGGGGAAAGCAAAGCCAGGCAACAGTCCCTCCCCAGGAGCGCCTAGGCAGATCAAATCCTACCACAGGCCTCAAGCGCAAGCAGCGGAAGCACTGTTGCTCAATAAGCCCATTCATTTCCCCATGGGACGGTTTTCCCCTTCAATGTGCTGCACTTTACATAAGCCTCCTTCCCTCTTTGTTGGCTCTCAGAAGGTTCTCCAGGCCCTACTTCAGCATCTGCATACGTCTGCGCTTGGGTCCCAGACTGCAAGCATCCTGAGGACAAGATCTGTCTCACCCACCTGTGCCAGTTCCCTGGGCTTGGTACCTGGCGTGTGCAGGGCAGACGCTTGCTGAATGAGTGAACACTCAGTTTTTTTTTTTTTATCAAATGGTGATTTGGGAAGCAGCATGAAGAGAAAAACCAGCAAATAAATATTATTTCATTTACACTGCTTTAGAAATAAAGGTGTCTACTTACTCAGTTTAGCCATACCAATCAAAAATATTTTTCCCTGCAGAATTCAAGGAATCAGGTGGATGTCCCAATCACCAACTATTCAGATGTATCTATCTTCATCAGTAAATGTTTGCCCCTCAGTCCTGTTACTAAACTTCAAATCACAGGAAGCACAATTCTTAGCTTGGCCTTGAGTAATGAGAATCAATTACCCTTTGCTTAAAAGATACATCTATGGAGCTTTATTAGTGGATGCTTCAGCTGAACTCCTGCTGAGGCAGCAAGCAGCAGTAACAACAAAAACAGCCTTAGAGGTACCATATCAAAATGTGTGCAGTCCCTTATGCTCTTCTCAGTGACTTGTGGGGTGGCCCTAATACAACTCATGTGAAGAAAGGCTTAAATGTATTTATTTTACAAGGCAAAATCTCCAAGACCCTCCCCCACTAAAAAGGGGGCAGGTAGGAATTTCCTATAGCAAATAGCTGTGGCTCACCTAAAAGGTGACCTCTCAATACTGTTTGAAAATTACAGCCATAGATATTAAATAAAATAGCCTCACAACGTTACTCTGGTTAAGGGGATTCTAACATACGAAGTGATGGCTATGATTCTTCCTTAACAGTTTAACAATTATCTTCACTTTGTCCAAAGAATATTTTCTAACTTTCTGATCCATCATTAAAAAAGGGAAACCTTTAAAGAAAAATGAAATTAAAACATACCTGCCCTAAGAAATAAAAAGAGAGCCTTATAAAGGAAGGGAATTCTGACACATCCTCTAACATTGGTGAACCCCTGAGGACATCTCACTGTGTAAAATAAGCCAGTCACCAAAGGATAAATACTGTGTGATTCCACTCACATGACGGACCCAGTGTCTTCAAATTCGTAAGACAGAAAGGAGAAGGGTGGCTGCCAGGGGCTGGGGAGAGGGGACTGGGGCATTAATGTTTCATGGGTACACAGTTTCAGTTTGGAAAGATGAAAAAGTTCTGTAGATGGATGGTCACCACCATCTGAATATACTTAATGCTGCTGAACTGTATAATTAAAAATGGTGAAGAAAACTGTGTATTTTATTACCAAAAAACCCCCCAAAACCCCACCATAAAAATTATTTTAAAAATTGCAGTTTGTTAAGAGAAATGAGTAAGAAAAGTAGCAACTGGGAACTCGTCTACGGACTTTTTTCTGAGTGGTATCTTAATAGCTGAACTCTGCATCTTTTGTTTTAATGAAATAACGAGAACCACCCCTATGGTAACCTCTGGTCCAGTGCTCTGCATAAGGTTGCATGGGGTTTTGTCCTGAGGAAGGGCTTGTAGATGGGTCACACAAGCATTTTATATCACAGGCCTTGTAAAGCCTGGATGGCATGTGCTGCTTCCAAGTCTAAAATGAAAACAAGAATTTTGTGTAGGAAAAGAATTTTCCGCCTCATGAATGAATCATTTGGATGATGTAATTTAGGCAAAGACCATATTGGCTTCTGTATCTTGTAGTGTATTAACATAGTAACTTATTCAACCTAACAAATTAAGGGTTCCTTAATAAAGAACTCCTTTTAGAGAATCTAAAATTTAACGGCAGAAAAAGCACATAAGCATGGACTATAGACTAAGCTTGTTCAAAAACCTAGAATTCCGTATGTATCTTTCATTGCAATTTTTAATGAATCCAGACATTTTCTCAACTGGGATTCAGAACTCAAAATTTTTTTAATCCTCTCCTCAACATTTAGTCACCAGGGCACCTGTGTTAAAACAGAATATAAAGAAGTTTTCAAGAAAAACCAGTCTGAAAATCTGCCTTGGTCCCACAATTTAAATCAAATCTGAAACACCCCAGGCCTAGTAAGCAATCTAACCAAGAAGGCAACATAATCAGATTCGGGGGGCGGGGGTGGGGGGCAACAGAGGTGCAGGCACAGCAGCCCTTTATTCTGCTGGTGTTTGTGATGTGTGCCGAGTGCACGATCAGAGGGAGCCCAAGGCGCCTTCCCATCAAACCCCAGGGCTGCCTTGTCTGCAATTCAAGTCCATTACTAAACCTCTTTCGGAGAGGAATCCTGCTGCCACCAGCAAATTCCCGGGTTAACAGAGCACGGCTTCACAGGCCTGGGGTAAAATGGACTGGAACGAAGCTGCCCGTCAGAAAGACAGCGTTCCTCTGCCAGGTGGCCTTTAAAGCACCCAAGGAATATTTGGGGTGCATTTGGTTCCGATTCTTTTGGCCGGACTCGGAATTGGTGTATGTCGTCCGAAGCCACCTGACCCTCCTGCGACTTAGACAACTTTTCTTTTTACGAAACTTCCAAGTTGCAATAGAATACACTTTTTAAACGGACGGAAGCCCTGTAAAAGGATTTTCTAACTTTTATTTATATAAAACCGAAACTCCTGGTAGGGGGAGGGGGCTCACCAAAGGCTGCTGGTAGAGCGAAAAGCATCCTGATCTGTGCTTTCTTCAAGAGTTCCACAAAAGGACCAACAAATAACAAAGGGGGGAAACAATTCCCTACCCCTGCCCTGAGGTTCGCCTGACAAAGAATCCCAAGCACCGCGCCCAGGTAACTGCGCCGGAAAATGCAGCCGGAAGCACCCGACCCAGCCCAGAAACTGGGCTACTCACTGGTTTCGGCATTTTCGGTTCCTGGTGGGTTTTCCTCAGTCCTCCGGAAACACAGCTCTCCAGCCGCTGAGACTCCTCCCGACCTGTGGGCAGAGCACAGCCCGTACAGCGAACAGCCTCCGCCGCGCCCGGACTCACGGCGCCCGCACCGCGCGCGGCTGCTTAAGAACCGGCCGGGCGGGCGCCGGCATGAGTCACCGCCCAGCCTGCAATTACCGCGGGCCGGGCGGGCCCCGCGGGGAGGGGCGTGGGGGCCGGCGGGGGTCGGGGGGCCGGCGGGGAGGGCTCTGGGGCTGGAGGCCGGGAGCGCGGAGGCGCGCGCGGGCCCGGGACGGCGGGAAGGGGCCTGGCGGGAGGCCCGGCTGGGAGGGGGCCGAGGCGGGGCCCCACCGAGGCAGCTCGCGGGGCTCCCAGGAAGCCAGCCGGCAGCCCAGCAGACAGCGAGTTTCACTTTGTGAAGCAACCGTTTGCCTCAGCGCTGAAACCGCAACCGTCAAGCCTTTGAGAAACACTTTAAAAACTGCACCCGCCCGGGAGGGGCCGAGGGCAGACGGGCCGCGCGAGGCCGGCGGGGCGCGAGCAGGGGGCGCGCCCACGCAGCCCGGGGGCCGCGGGCACTGCGGGAGGGGGACCCCAGGGGAAGGTCGCGCCGCAGCCGGGGCGCCCGCGCCGGCAGGTTCAGCCTCGCCTGCAGTGTATTTGCTGAGAACGCGAGAAGCGTGCGCAGAGACCCCAGGACCCGGCCCGGCGGGCGGCGGGGCGGGCCCGGATCCCTTCGGGGACCACCGGCCGGGGGCTGGCGTGTGGACCGCCCCTCGGCTGGGCCGGCGCCGCCACACCTGTCGTCCTGTCCCGGTCACTGCCGCCTCCGCGGAGAGCGCAGCGCGAAGCCACGGACCGAGCAGACCCCCTCCGCCCGCCGACCCCGGCCGCGAGCCCGGCTCACCCGCGCGCCGCAGAGGACCGTTGCGCTCCCGGCTGCCGGCGCGTCCGTCACTGCGCTCGCGGCCCGCGCTGCCGAGACTTCCCGGCGGGGCGGGGTCCCGGGGCCGCGCCCCTCTCCGTCCCGCCCGCCAGACCTGCGAAGTGCGCCCGGCGAGTAAGATGGCTGCGACCGCCGCCCGCACCCGAGGGCGCCCCCAGCCTGGCTCCCCGCCCCCCACGCCGCGCCCCGGCCCGGCTCGCCCAGACCAGACGCCCCCACCACGCGCTGCTGCCTCTCCATGTCCAAAAAACCTTTGCCTCTTCGCTCCTGTCCCCTTGCCCTTGGAGAACTTTGCCGAATCTGGTCCTGATTGCAGATGGAAGGTGTGAGATTGCTCCATCGCGAACCGAGGGAAATCAAGAAAATGTGGATAAACCTGGAGGAGCCAGAGGCCGTAGGGCAGGTGCTAGGCCATTTTGGGGTGGCTCTGCCCGCGTAGCCGAGACCGAGGTGGCGTTGTGAGAGTTAGGGCCTGGGTTGCTGCTCCCGGCGCACGTGGCTGCCAGCCAACCGGTCGGATTCGGTGGAGGACAAGAAAGAAGACGCCCCATCGCCGAAGGCTCTGGTTAAAGGATACATTTGTGATCTCGTTTGACTTGACTAACACAAAGCTACAGTAAAATTTCCATAGGGGGAATTTCTGGAATTATTTTTAATATTTTTTGCAAATGGTTCTCAAGAGGAATTTTTAAAAACACACAAAAACACGTGGACTTTGGTGGCAAGTAAGATTTGTTGCACGTGATAGAGCTAAGCTAGAGCAGTGGTTCTCCAAGCGAGCTTCCCAGGCTAGCAGCATCAGCTTCATCTGGGAAATTGCAGAAATGGAAATTCACAGGTACAGCCCCAGCACCTAAGGAATGAGAAACTCCAGACTGGGGCCCAGCAGTCTAGATCTTCAAGCCCTCCAGGTGATTGTGATGTAGGCTAAGGGTTGAGACCACAGCTTGTCCTGAATTCCTCTGCTGAGCTCAACATTAACTCCTTGTGTGAGCTGAGCGGGTTATTTCACCCCTTTGTACTTCAGTTTTCCCATTTGTAAAATGGTATAATTCTGGCAACTGATTGCATAGGGTTGTCACCAGGATTAGAGTTAATACAGGTCCAGTGCCTAGACCAATGTCTGGCACAAAGTAAGCACTCAAATCTGTCCTGGTACAGAGAGTAACCAGTTGCTTTGAGCAAAGATTCAGTCTTCTACTTTGCAGAATGGAGATACTGGTAGCACCTCCTACATGAGCTTGTAGGGATTAAATGAGATAATATATGCAAAGTGCTTAGCACAGTGCCTGCCCCCTGGTAATGCCTAACCTGTCCTAAGGACTGACTGTCTCTGCGGTACTCTTGTCCTGTGACCTGTAACTGTCTCCCAGCTGCAGGCCCAGGGCATTTCAGAGGTCCAGGCAAGGAGGGAGGCCTTTTCTGAGATTTTGTCCTGTGCTCTGGCAAGTATGTTCCCTCTGAAAGACTGTCTGTTTTATTGAAATGAAGATGGAAACAGCAGTAGGGAGTAAACTATGGGAGATACTTGAGTAACCTGCAGTGATAATGGTTCAGACTGGACAGATCACTCCTAGCTCTGTGTCCCCTCCTGATCACTGCCTGAAACCTTGTTAGCCATTTGTGGTCCCCAACTCTGCAGGTAGGAAAGGCCTTTAATCTAATTTGTATCTGGCCCTGTTCATAGTTACTGTCTTCTAAACTGGATGTTGAAATAGCACTGGCCCAAGACCTTCTGGAGCATTTCTGAAATTTAACCTTCAGGGGAATGCTGGAAAATGATCTGGCTTATGGAGATTGGTAAAAATGAAAAGATCAGAAGCAAACAGGTTTCAGAAGCAAACAGAGCTGTCTTGAGTTCTGGTTCTAGCATTTACAAGCTTGGGCACTTTGGGCAAAGTCTCCTAACCTGACCCAGTTCTCACCTCTTCTTCCATATAATGAAGATAATAATATTTATTTAATTGTGTTTTTCATGGTGTTCTTGTGTCACAGATGTGTCATATAATAGGAGCATTTACTCAAATTTGACTTATACTTTTTTTGCATAAGATAGTATAGAGTCATACTTTGCATTTGCATTCATCCTATGCTTATATACTTTAAGCTTTGTACTATTTTACAGGGTTATTTCCACTCTTCCAGAAAAAACATTTATACTGAAATCTTACAAGTGTCTTAAGAGGATTTTCCATGGATCATTTGTTTTCACCTGACCAAACCTTACCCCCTCCCCAGCCCTTCCCCTCCAACACATGTAGAAGACTGAACTCCAAGCAGTCTATACAGATTGCTTAGTGGGACAGTGGTAACTGAAGCTTTGGTGTGCATGAGAATAACTCATGCAGCCCCCTCTAGGAATCACGGGGCAGTAAGAGTCAGGTGAACCCTGGGATCTATGTCTTTAACAAGTTCCTGGGTGAGTCTGTGGTACCCCAAATTTTGAGAACCACTGACTTGGTGTGTGGCAGGACCCCAACAAATACTGCATACCTTGCCTCTCCCTTCACCCTTTTTGTGAAGTCATCCCGTTTTGTAAGACATGGTTTTGTTCACATTTGATAATCAATGCCGCCCAAGGAAGGGAGGAAGCCTGGAGCTCCGAGCCCCGGATGCCGTTCCCTGCTCTCTGCGATGGCGCCATCGGCTTTCAGTGCCTGGCTCCTCGTTTCAGGTTGTCAGTTTCTCAGCTAAACTAGAAAATCATGTCTACCCATGAGCTGCTGAAATGCTCTTGGTAGACTGCCTGGAGTTCGTCAGACAAGGTTCCACTAAAGTGAGGCAGGGCCACCCTTGCGGTGGCTTTAGACACAGTGACAAGGACCAGGACTCTCACACAGAACACACACATCCCCTCACTGCAGGCTACCTATCAGACCACCTGGGAGCCCATCTCCACACTAGGGCCAGATTGGTCTCACCCTGTAGAAAAAGGTCACAAGTAGTGTGACAATCTCTAGTCTCCATCACTTGAAAAGAATAGGCAATAGGGAAACATAGGGTACCCTTGGCAAGGCAAGGACTTGGGTTATTTTTTAGGGCTCAATAACCTTGGTGAAAACTCAGGACAGTGGGTGAAAAGGCAAAAGAATGAATAAAAACTCAGACGGCTAGAGAGGTAGCCACTCTGCACTGGGCCTAGAAATCATTTAGATGAGTCTTCACAGGGCACTAAACTAGAGGGAGCCTCTTGACACCATTTTGATGGTATAACTTACATACCATGGGTTCACTAAGGAGAATTCTGGCCACTAGGTGTTCTATTTGAATTGTTTCCTTGGTTTATTAAAAAATTTGCATAAATAGCCTTACTAGGTTTTATGTAAAAGAGTACTAATGATCACACAACTAATTTGACCGATGAAACTCCAAATAGCATAGCTTCTATTATAATTTCTCTTAATTCTGATCATTTATGAGTTTTTCTGAAAAAAAATTTCTTCTAACTTAAAAGCACATTGTATGACGACCTCAATGGGACCTTGAATGTCACCATCTATTCTGATGCCCAGATTTCACAGAGGAGATGGAATTCACTGTCCCACTCCTGCACCCACATTTCTCTCGTCACGATTGCAGTGACCTCTGTCTTGCTGTATCCAGGGGACAACCTTCTCTGCCTCATCTTATCTTTCTAAAGCAGCAGCCTCCACCAAATGTAACAGTGCCTGGGAACATTCTCTTCTTACTGTCTCTGTTGTCCCCTCTCCTCTTCTCTGGTTCCTCCCCCAAACCCTCTCACCAAGACTTAGCTCAGAGCTCATTCCTGGGCCTTTATCTATGTACACTCTTTTCCTAGGTCATCTCGTCCAATCCCAAGGCTTAAATAACATCTCTAGCCCTGACCTTTCCCCCAAGCTACAATTCTTCATTTCCTTTCTCCAGTATTCTTGATTTTTGAGAACTGCTCCCCTCCCAGCCTTCTCCTTCTTAGCCAACAGCACCACCATTTGCCCTGGTTCTTGGCCCCAAACCTGAGTTCCCCTTCTCTAGACCCCACTTCATCCTCCATGCATGTACATGCAAGCCAGCAGATTTAACAGCCCCATTTCAGAAGATGCTGGATCGTGTCTCCTCCCTGCCAGCAGGTTTGGAATAAAATTCACACCCGCTCCTTGGCCCTGCGCAGTCTGGCTCACGCCTGCTTCTCCAGCGGCACCTCCTACCAGTCCCTGGGCCAGCTCTGCTCCAGCTGCCTGAGTTTTTGTTCTGTGAATGCATCAGCCTGTTTCTGCTGCAGGGGTCCCATACTTGATGTTCCCTCCGCCTGGAATGCACCGCCCCCTAGTCTGCCAGCCGGGCCTTTCCTTGTCTTCTAGGTCTTTGCCCCGCTACTACCTGCTCTCGTGACGTGCCGCGTCTCCCTCACAGCCTTTCTCCTGACTTGTCGCTCTCACAGCCCTCAGCCCTCTGTGTAGTCTTGCTTGTCTGCATCTGTGTTTTCTGTCTCCTCCACAAGAACTGAAGCTCCTGTCTATCTGGTTCACTGCTGGGCTCTCAGCAGCTGAGACGGTGCCTGGTCCCTAGCAGATGTTCTGTGAATACTTGTTGAGTAGATGAAGTGAGTCAACACTGCTAGTTCGTACCCAAGCCAGTGCACTCATGTTAGTTTTCCTTCCATACGCCTTACTGTTGTCCTCCGGATTGCTAACCATGGGGACACTTAACTTACCTAGATCCAAGCTGTACGCAACACCATTGAAAACCAGATGACAGAGAAAAAAAGAAATGTGTAAAAAAAGTCTACTTAGGGCCTTCCTAGGTTTCCCTTAATTCCAATTTTAGTTGGGATTTTAATAAGTTTGCTTAGCTCTTTTACCAGGATACAGCAGATTCGGAGGGAGGGTGCAAGGTACAAGCTGACGCCGTAACAACTGTGAGAAGCAGTGCTTGACAGCAAAGAGGCAGAAGAATTAGAACAGAACAGACAGGAACTCAAAGTCCAGCCGGCTGGGTCCACACAGCCCGGGGAGAGCTGACTGCAATTCCACAGGAGCCCCGAGGGCACAAAATAGAGCCCAGGGCATTGACAGCTGTTCATATTGACCACTTTCTCAGGAAAGGGGTTTATTTATGACTCCTCTATACTATCAGAAAGCTTTTTTTT